TGAGGTGGAGGGCTTTGTGGACTGGTGTTGGGTTAATGTTGGATTTGTGGGCTTGGGCAGCATTGGGTTGGGATGTTTTCATGATGCACATTTTCTTTACATAAAACTCTCTTATACATGAGTTGCTGTGGATTTGTTTCTCCAAAGTATCCAGACTAATACACGGTGTAACTCGCTATGTTCAATTTGTGGCATGGTGACGGCAGCAACGCCGCTGGACGCAGTCCCCGGGGCGCGACGAACCACTCAGTACTCCTGTACTTTTCTTTTAAGAAAGGCAATGGGCTACATTTGGACTGCAGGCCACTTTCTCAGCACCAGTTTTAAAAAATTAGCCATTTCTCCATTAAACACACATATGTACAAATGTGCTTGACATAATGGATGGATGTACGGATTGTGATAAGAGCTGTATTGGCCCCCAATAAAATGATTTAAACACACACATACAGTACTTATGGATAATTATTTTCCAGGTTAATTGGAAAGGCAAGTCACTACTTAAAACTAATAAACCAAACTTACTGCCGTCGAGTCAGTTCTGACTCACAGCAACCCCATCGGCAGAGTACAACTATTGCTTTGAGTTTCCAAGGCTGTCCACCTTTGCCCGAGGAGAACGCCTTCTCTTTCTCTGGCAGAGAGGCTGGTGAGTTTGCGATGCACCATTAAGCACTCATTTGCCATAGCAGCAGCATCACCAAGGCCCATAGGCCCATTTAGCCTATGAATATAACACAGAATTGGGTTGGGTTGCTGAAACCAGTACCAGTAAGAAAGCAGAGTAGCAAGGGGACCTTCCTCCCTGAGACCCTAACTAAGCAAACTGGCTTCGCCCACCTAGGCTCCGGGCCGAGCAGGCAGCGGGCTGGCGCAGGCGCACCGGTTCCGCGCCCCACCAATCTGGACCCTCGGCGCGTTCCGTTCGTGCGTGGCGTCGGGAGGCGCGGCCGCGCCGCTCGGCAGTCGGGGCTCAGCGACGGCGCGGATGGCGGACTCCCAGCTGTTCTGCGTGGCCGAGGAGCGCAGCGGCCACTGCGCGCTGGTGGACGGAAACTTCCTCTACGTGTGGGGGGGCTATGTGGTAAGGGGCAGAGGCGCGCGGGCGCGACGCGCGTTCCCGGCGGGCCGGGCCGGCCCGGGCCGCCCTCGCCGTTGTTTCCGATCGCGAACCTCCCGCCCGGTGGCCAGGCTCTTCCCCGCTCCGCCTCCGCAGCTGTCGCGTGTCCAGTACAAAGTCACCACTGCGCGATTTCATGTCCATCTTTCAGTTACTGACGCAGGCTCGCGCACACCAAGTGTGCCCTGCCTTATGAGTTCGCTTGTTTCCCGCGACGTTATTCGAAATAAAAGGTTGACATCACGAAGGCACCTAAATTAAGCAATTTTATGGCGCTCCTTTATTAATGGGTAATACGATTTTTCCCTTAAGTCCCCAAACCAGTGTATAGACACATAGTAGCGACTTTATACCAAAGACTATTATGCTAAGTTTTCTAATTACAGTGGGGGGTTGAATATGTGTGTATGTGTGTTTTGTTTTTATAATCATGAGATTCTAAAGTTGGAAAGTGGTTCAGAAATACATGTCAGTCCTTCACAGATAGGGGGAAGGGAAGCTATCTGGAGGATCCACAGAGAGGGTAACACGATTAAGTCACAGAAATAAAATGCATACTGCTTATGTTACATAATTCTCAGCTCCAAGTTGGGTTTATTGTTGTTTGTTTGCTTGCTTTTAGTTTGGTGATGTATATATATCAACACATAAACATATTTTGTATATGTTTACTGTAGTATATACAATAATACATTTGGTATAATACATATATGTATATATATGTGTACATGTGTGGTGATACACACACACACACACACACATAAAAGCCGACCAACCACAACAGTGAAACTCCCTGTCCAGTCATAGTGGCCCTATAAGAGCAGAGTAAAACTGTCCCTGTGGGGCTGAAATTCTTTAAAAGGAGTGGAAAGCCTTGTCTTTCTTCTGCAGAGAGGTTAGTAGTTCTGAACTGCTAACCTGAGGATCGCAGCCCAACATGTAACCACTGAACCACCTGGGCTCCCTTTGGTGTATCATAGCATGGGAAAATTAGACCTAACCTTTGAGTGCCTCCTATACTTCCTATGCACTAGGAGCTGTCATAACCCTAATCATAAGTAGCCCTTACAATAATCTTTACCCAGTTTTATAAATAACAACACTGAGTCACTCAGTATATATAACTCTAATGGCCATTTGACCTCAAGGGCCAAAGATTACAATCTACGAATACAGGTTTCTCATATGCTTATTTCTTCAAGCTAAAATATGAACGATTCTACTTTTTTTTTCTACTTTCCTCATGTTCTCAATGTACACTTCACTATGTCTTGATGGATGTATGCAGAAATATTTTGATTGGTTTTGAGCTCTGCCACAAAGATAGAAAATGCCAGACTTCACCTTTTGCATTGTTTCTTCTGTATTGTGAAAGTGAAGCAAAGAAAAAAATTCATGTAATAAGAGTAATCCGGAATATATCTGACAGGAGAGATTGGGGCCTGTAAGTAGAAGGCTGAGTTTTCTACATCTCATTTTGATCTTGAAAATTATATAATTGATTAAGACTGAAGTACTTCGTTTAGCAGTCATTGAATAGAAATATTTGTTTCCCCACTACTTTTTTATTGAACGAGTGCTATGAGAACCAGGCAGGAAACTTCAGTGCAGTTTCAGATCCTCAGTCTACTCGATTGTGTTGGAGCTGATTCTGACTCATGCAACCCCAGGTATGTCTCAGGAGAGCTGTGCTACACGTCTTGTTAGTGGCTGCTGTTTGGGAATAAGATCACCAGACATTTCTTCTGAAGTCCTCTGGTGAACTCAAACCTTTAGCCTTTCAGTTAGCAGCCAAGCACAATAATCGCTGGCACCATGCACCACTTAGGTTCCAGATCCTGCATCAGCTGCCTTTGAAATCCCAGGAACCATCAGCAGTTAAACAATATCTAAGGCATAATTGTAAGGAAGGGGAGAGTAGGAAACAAAAAAGAAGACATGGCAGATCTCAAGAAAAACAAGATTTTTTCCAACAATTATTCAGAACAGAAGATAATTAAAGGCCCTGGAATCTGGAGGTTTTCCAATAGTTAAGAATAATAGATGATCCCAGAATGTAGGTTTCATGCAGTTTTCCTACTCCTTAACACATGCAAAAAAAGTGTTAAAATTGACCTAAAACTCAAATGATTTACTGATATCTGTCTAAATTACTTATTGCTTTATTGTCAGTTGTAGTGTACAGGTCTTTATATCTGAAAACAGCTCTATCCCCAGAGGTCAGACAACAGTGTTAAAAAATAAAAAGGGGGGCGGATTTTACTTGGTACCAGAATTCTTTCTTTGCCCTTGGTTCTTACATAGACTTTTCACATTACTGAAAGTCATAGAAAATTTAGCGGTGCTACTAGGAACATTAAATGTGAGTTTTCATAAATTTGAGAGGAAAGATGGTGTCTTAGGATGCTTTTTTCTTTCTTTTAAAAAAATCATTTTATTGGGGGCTCATACAGCTCTTATCACAATCCATACATACATCCATTATGTCAAGCACATTTGTTGAAATCATCATTTTCAAAACATGTTCTTCCTACTTGAGCCCTTGGTATTAGTTCCTCATTTTCCCCTCCATCCCCAACCCTCCCTAGGATGTTTTTTTCTTATGACTTTAATTATATGAGAGTTTGATCTCTGTAAGAGACTTGATATTAATATACTTTGCCCTGAACTTCATAGACAATTGCTGTGTAAACATGCCTAAGTACATATATCTCATGGAGTGGACTTAAGAGGAAGGAGATCAACTTAGAAAATGATTGAGAAGGATAAACTTGAGAGACTTAGACTATCAGATAATAAAACATCATTATACCATACTAATTAAATCAGTGGTCCTAATGCAAGTAAAAATAGCTCAATGGAACAGAAAAGACTTAAGGACACTGAGCCCAACATAGATGGAGGTAAATGATATCAGAACCTTGGACTTGAAATGTTAACTGTAGAAAAATTAAGTAATACAACCAGACGAAAATATAAGCAACTATTATAAACTCTTGGGGAAAGAAAAGCCATGTTGGGAAAAATTATAGTGGAAAAGGTTGATCAAACTTTCAAAAATATTTTATTT